TGAGGAAAAGGATCGTCCATCCGATGCGGAGGCACCAGGGTCTGCCAATGCGAATGAAGAGCTGGATCAATCTTGCCAGGCGATTGAGGATGCGAAGAGAGAAGGATTGGTATCCTCAATTCAAAGGGGCATACAGGATCCTATTCTTACGATTTCGGACCTGGAGTATATTCTGCTGCAACTTCACCTCAAGATTGCCAACAATCGGAAAAAGAAGTGATTGGATGGTATGGATGAAGGGATGGTTTTTCTCTTTCTGGAGACCGGTGCGCTGGAACAGCCAATGTGCTGACAATGTGGTGGTTACTATTAAGGGTATGGAAATCCCTGATAGTAGGAGTCAGTAGCTTTTCGCGTAGCGAAGACCACGGTTTGTGGTGAAGAAGGCCAAGGAGTCTTCAGTGATGAGAGGATCAAGGTGAAAAAAGATTCTCTATGGGTAGTAGGTTAGCCAATGTGCTATAATTCCGTCCTGGAAGACGTTAAACCACAATTTGCATTTCAAGCAGCTGGCTGCTGCCGTAATGGCAGTTTTTGGCCAAAAGATCTGCATCTCCAATGTGTCCTAGGAAATCCTAGGACAGGGGGAGTGCGGAGCTGCAATTGGTATTGTAGAAAGGAGTTAGTGTTGGAAGTTGGAAGGGTTAATGAACCCGGTAATCGTATTTGGCTCAAGATGGGCTTGAACAGAAAGCCACAAGTTCAAAAAGAAGTGCCTGGGTTCTTAGGGTTTGGTAAGGGTGTGGATTCCTTCCCCCTTTCCTTCCCCCCTGGGTTGCTCTTATCCGTGTTCTTGGTTTTTTTCTTGGTTCGATCTGGGAAATATAAGTTCAGGGCGATTAGGGGAGTTGATTTCCTTCCTTGGTTGTCCCCCCGTATAGGGTTTAGGGTTTAGGGTTTAGGGTTTAGGGCTTAGGGTTTAGGGAAACATAGGCAAGGTGCAATGAAGCGATCCCGCGGCACGAGAAGCAAGACGACCTTGCGGGAAGCCGTCACGGTGTACTCGTACCTGAGCTTGAGGGTTGGGGTTTAGGGTTTAGGGTTTAGGGCTTAGGGCTTAGGGTTGAGGGTTTGTTTAGGATTTAGTGTCGAGGGTTTCCCGCAGTTCACACATAGATTCAGCTGCTTCTTTGCACGGGGGAATTCCGCATAGGACTGCCCCGAATGTGCCCCAAGAATACTACAACCCTGATTCTTCGTAAACCCTGAAGCCCTCCTAAACCCTAAACCCTAAACCCTAAACCCTAAACCCTAAACCCTAAACCCTAAACCCTAAACCCTAAACCCTAAACCCTAAACCCTAAACCCTAAGCCGGGTATCAAGCAGAGAAAAAATCCTGTATTGGGGTTGAAGGGTTTGGGGGTGCCAGGAGAGCCTATGCTACCCCAAGGTGTTGGGGTGTTGCGACCCCAACTCCCACCACGTGCCAAACTGCCCTAAACCCTAAACCCTAAACCCTAAACCCTAAACCCTAAACCCTAAACCCTAAACCCCAAACCCTAAACCCTAAACCCTAAACCCGTTGAATCCTGAACCCTGAACCCTTGATTCCTTCATCCTTCTGCCAAGCGTGCTCATTCTTGAGACCAAGTAGTACTTCTTCACCGAAACCTTAGCAGATGAGGGTTTAGGGATCCCCCCCCCCCCCTCCTCTCCGAAAGAAAGGGATTCCAGAAGGCTCTGCTCACCACATCGGCCTTGGGGCTTGCAAGTAAGGCTAGTTTAGGGCGTAGGGCTTTTGCTACAGTTTAGGGTTTAGGGTTTAGGGTTTAGGGTTTAGGGTTTAGGGTTTAGGGTTTAGGGTTTAGGGTTTAGGGTTTAGGGTTTAGGGTTTAGGGACTCTTTTGGCCACCAGCCAAGCCCAGCTGACTAGCCTCACCGCCGCACCGCCGGGCCCAGTTCGGGACGCTAGACAAGGATTAAGAAGTTGCGTTTGGGTTTAGGGCTAGGGTTAGGGTTTCGGGTTTGGGGCTAGGGGCTGGAGGAACCTCATGCTGGATAGCTGGAATTCAAAATCCTTGAATCAAGCCTTACAACCCAGGGTTAGGGTTTCGGGTTTTGGGTCTTGGGTTTAGGGTTTAGGGTTTACCCATAAACCCGAAACCCCCGAACCCTAAACCCTCAACTCGCAAACCCCAAATCTCAAACCCTAACCCCAAACTCTGTCACGGGTAAAGCCCTGCAACTCCCAAATCTCTGCAGCTTCGCTGTCTCGAGTTCATCTTCGGTCTTGAACGGCTTTGGTGCTATTGCGGTTTAGGGTTCAGGGTTCAGGGTCTAGAGGGTTTGGGATTAGGGCGACCCTTGGGGATATAGAATCTGAATAGGGTCCCTGCTTAAGAGAGCCAGAAGAGGGTTCAAAAGGGTTCGCTTTTAAGGGTCTCCCTTGTCCTAGCTAGGAGTCGAGGCTCTACAGGGTGTAGGAAGTCCACACTTGGACCATGGGGGTGCATTTTTAGTTATAAGTTGTACTATTATGCCCAGAACCCCGGATAAGGTTCCTTAAACCCTAAACCCTAAACCCTAGACCCTAGACCCTAAACCCTAGACCCTAAACCCTAAACCCTAAACCCTAAACCCTAAACACTCTGTCGGGAAGCTGTCACCCCCTCGCAGTAGCTCAGTCAGCCTCTTGCGGCCCTCCGGAAGGATTGGAGTGGAAGCTTTCAGGTTCGGGGCTTCGGGATCTTCGGGAGGTCCTTAGGGTTTAGGGTTTAGGGCAGAGGGTTGTGCCATAAAGTTTTGAAGGTTCAGGGTTTGGTTTTTTACATGTTGACCGTAACCCTAAACCCGCAAACCCTAAACCCTAAACCCTAAACCCTAAACCCTAAACCCTAAACCCTAGGAGGGTTTATTGTGTCAGGGCTTTCCGGTTCAGGGTCGGCATCTACGGCTCAGGGAGTTTAGGGTCCCCTGGTACTTACCTAAACCGTAACCCTAAACCCTAAACCCTAAACCCTGGAAGTCCTGCGCAAAACTACAGAGTGGCCCTTAGAGCGGGTGCGGGTGTGCAGTCGGTGAAGCTGGCGGGCTCCGCCTTCTCTGTGAATCTCGTAGAGAACACAGAGCCCTAAACCCTAAACCCTAACCCTAAACCCTCTCTTACTATGTATATTTAAACCCTAATGACCTTCGTCGGCATATTGTTTTTTTTCCCCGGGCGGGGGCCCTAAACCCTGACGCACTTCGTCGGCATGTTGTTTTTTTTCCCCGGGCGGGGGCCCTAAACCCTGACGCCCTTCGTCGGCATATTGTTTTTTTTCCCGGGCGGGGGCCCTAAACCCTGACGCCCTTCGTCGGCATATTGTTTTTTTTCCCCGGGCGGGGGCCCTAAACCCTGACGCCCTTCGTCGGCATATTGTTTTTTTTCCCCGGGCGGGGGCCCTAAACCCTGACGCCCTTCGTCGGCATATTGTTTTTTTTCCCCGGGCGGGGGCCCTAAACCCTGACGCCCTTCGTCGGCATATTGTTTTTTTTCCCCGGGCGGGGGCCCTAAACCCTGACGCCCTTCGTCGGCATGTTGTTTTTTTTCCCCGGGCGGGGGCCCTAAACCCTGACGCCCTTCGTCGGCATATTGTTTTTTTTCCCCGGGCGGGGGCCCTAAACCCTGACGCCCTTCGTCGGCATATTGTTTTTTTCCCCGGGCGGGGGCCCTAAACCCTGACGCCCTTCGTCGGCATATTGTTTTTTTTCCCCGGGCGGGGGCCCTAAACCCTGACGCCCTTCGTCGGCATATTGTTTTTTTCCCCGGGCGGGGGCCCTAAACCCTGACGCCCTTCGTCGGCATATTGTTTTTTTTCCCCGGGCGGGGGCCCTAAACCCTGACCCCCTTCGTCGGCATATTGTTTTTTTTCCCCGGGCGGGGGCCCTAAACCCTGACGCCCTTCGTCGGCATATTGTTTTTTTTCCCCGGGCGGGGGCCCTAAACCCTGACGCCCTTCGTCGGCATGTTGTTTTTTTCCCCGGGCGGGGGCCCTAAACCCTGACCCTTCGTCGGCCCCCGGGTCCCTAAACCCTGACGCCCTTCGTCGGCATATTGTTTTTTTTCCCCGGGCGGGGGCCCTAAACCCTGACGCCCTTCGTCGGCATGTTGTTTTTTTTCCCCGGGCGGGGGCCCTAAACCCTGACGCTGACCCCGGGCGGGCCCTAAACCCTGACGCCCTTCGGCATATTGTTTTTTTTCCCCGGGCGGGGGCCCTAAACCCTGACGCCCTTCGTCGGCATATTGTTTTTTTTTCCCCGGGCGGGGGCCCTAAACCCTGACGCCCTTCGTCGGCAATTGTTTTTTTTCCCCGGGCCCCTTCCCCCCCCCCCCCCCCCCCCCCCCCCCCCCCCCCCCCCCACACCCACCCCCCCACCTTACCCCGTTCCCACCCCACAACCCTCCCTATTCCCATCCAGTAGAGGTTTGGTTTCGGTCTTGGGTTAACTGGACCTTGAGCTTTAAGCCTACTGGGAATGTATTGAGTGAACTTTGTATTTTCTCAATGTTATGGGTTTCCTGGGTGGGTGGGGTTTTATTCCAACGCTGGACAAGCTGCTTGACTAGTAAATGCTCGGACTTGAGATGCTGAACCCTAAACCCTAAACCCTAAACCCTAAACCCTAAACCCTAAACCCTAAACCCTAAACCCTAAACCCTAAACCCTAAACCCTATTTTATAAACCCTAAACCCTAAACCCTACGCTGGAAAGGAGGTGAATGGCTTATAGGGTCTAGGTTTGGGCAAGCAGTGGGTCCAGCGCGCCAGTAGGTCTTGGCTGTTGTGGGTTCTCCACACCCCTCGGCACACAAAACAGACTGCCGCTGCGCAGCGAGACACCCAAAACCCTAAAACCCAAATCACAAACCCTCACCATACCCATGGGCGCCGATGAGGTGCGACTGCCAAGCAAGGAAATCCTCCCCCTCACCCCCTCGCCTGCCAGCCTTGTCTGGTCATAAGGTCTTGGGTGGAGTCTTTGAGGGCTATCCTACATTTGCAGTGTTTGAGGCTATTTAGACTTCAGAGCTTACCTAGGACTCTACTTACCTACAGTTACAAACCCTAAACCCTAAACCCCAAACCCCAAACCCTAAACCCTAAACCCTAACCCCTAAACCCTAAACCCTAAACCCTAAACCCTAAACCCTAAACCCTAAACTCTAAACCCTAAACCCTAAACCCCACCCCCCCTCCCAAGAGATCGCCTCCGAGCCCTCATTCAAGACGTCCGTAGCCTCCAGCGCCTTCTCGAAGACTGCGGCGCCGTCCTCGGAATGGGTTCCGAGATTCGGAGTCGGGTCTTGGAGGCTGGGGTTTAGGGTTTAGGGTTTAGGGTTTAGGGTTTAGGGTTTAGGGTTTGCGGGTTTAGGGTTTGCGGGTTTAGGGTTTAGGGCTAGGGTTCAGGGATCTTGGTGAGTTTATGCTGCTGTCTCTAATCGCAAGAGCCCTCAAACCAACCTTCCGTGCACACTATGGGGTCAAGCGCAGAAAAAGCAGATGTCTTAGCGCAAGTTCGCATTTGTATGGGGAAGATACGGACCCCAGAGGGTCCATTTGTACTGCTATTATGGAATTGGGTACCCCAAAACCCTATTTAGTATGTTTTTTGGGTACCTAATGCCAGAATGGCACTACAAGTGGACCCTCAGGGGACCAAATTCCGAGTCAAGAGGCCTTGACAGGATTTGCGAGCTCCAAGGTGCAAAAACCCTAAACCCTAAACTCTAAACTCTAAACTCTAAATCATAAATCCTAAACCCTAAGCCGAAGCCCCAAAAGCTGAGTTAATTCTGGTCGACAAGCCTCGGCCCTCTAATTTTTTAACGAAAATCAGGGACCCAGAATATAGACCCCCCCAAATCGTGAGGTTCCCTTATAATAAGGTACCCCCAATATCGTAGGCCCCCCCCCCCCCCCCCATAATTATGGCACATACCCTAAACCCCAAACCCTAAACTTAAACTCCTAAACCCTAAGCCCTGAACTACGGAACCCATTTCAGGCCCAAGTATATACTACATATAAGCCCTCTTCAGAAAGGAGGCGAGGATGGGAAACCCTAAGCCCTAAACCCTAAACCTTAATAAACCCTAAACCCTAAACCCTCTTCAGCAAGGAGGCGAGGATGAGAAACATGCCCCTGGCGAACTTCTCTGATGGCACGATCCGGTCGCGCTTCTTGGCGGTCACCTCTGAGGGTTTAGGGTTTTGGGTTTAGGGTTTCAACTGCTGGCCAAGAAGGCTTTTAGGCTAAAACCCTAATCCCCCCCATCCCCACCCACCCTCCCCCCAACAAAAACAACGAACCTGTTTAGGGTTTTAGCGCACACTGGGACAGGGTTTAGGGTTTAGGGTTTAGGGTTTAGGGTTTAGGGTTTAGGGTTTAGGGTTTAGGGTTTAGGGTTTAGAGTTTAGGGTTTAGGGTTTAGGGTTTAGGGTTTAGGGTTTAGGGTTTAGGGTTTAGGGTTTAGGGTTTAGGGCCTGGGAAGTTCACGAAAGGTAGTTCCCTGGCCTGCTGCAGTATCCCAACGAGGCGGATCAGCACGCTGGTGGGCACCTCATGGTGCTGCTGTGCGCAGGGTTTAGGGTTTAGGGTTTAGGGTTTAGGGTTTAGGGTTTAGGGTTTAGGGTTTAGGGTTGGATGTAGGCGCTTGCGGCCTAGAGATGAGCTTGGGGGTTTGGGTCTTCAGATATTCGGGCTTGGGACCCTTTGAGGACTTTGACATGATGTGCGCCGCCTCCTTGGGGGAAGGTGATAGGCAGCTGGCACCCCAACACCCCCAAACTACCCCTAAACCTCTGAACCCTCCCCCCCAACACAAATAAAACCGCGACCAAATCTGCAACCCCCCCCTCCCAACGTAGCGGGGTACATGTTCTATTGCATACTAGTACGGGAACAACAGCGGGATGATCTTGGAAGCTCACCCTAAACCCTAAACTTTAAACCCTAACCCTAAACCCTAAACCCTAAACCCTAAACCCTAAACCCTAAACCCTAAACCCTAAACCCTAAACCCCCAAGTACTGTCAAACGAGGCGCCCCCCGGAAGATGAGATTCTTCGGCAGCATCGGATGGATCAAGAAGGTGGCCTGAGGGAAAGAAAGAGTCGCTAAGAGTTTAGGGTTTACTACTATTTGCTTAAGAGTCCAAATTTTTGTGTTTAAGACATATTCTTCCTTACAGAGGCAATATAGGGATTGTTTATTATTATTATCTTATTATTTTTATGACTATGATTTAATATTTCATATAATATTGATTTTTTTTTTGGGGGGGGGGGGGGGTGGGGTGGGGGTTCCTGGGCAAGTAGTAGTTTCAGGGTGTTAGGGATGACACAACCTCAACACGAGGCCCGAGAGACACATCGGCTGTTTTTTGGGGGCCTAGAATGTTGCCTGGAGTCTTCAGGCCGTGAACTCTGAGCCCAAAACTGACAAAATAAAACACTCCCTGGACTATGTAATATAGGGGCCTTAATCATTAGAATAGGGTTTCGGGGGTTGTTATGGTGTAAATATGAAGGGGAAACTAAATAGGGGAATGCTGTTCGTAATTCTTCCGACCCCCTATCGTAGCCCAGTGGCGACATCCTCCCTGAGCTCAGAAGACAGCTCATGGAAGACGGTCGCATCGTCCCAGCACACCTCCCACTTAATTCTAAGCCATAAGCGTTAAGAGGGGGGGCTAAGGTGGCAAAAACAACTCCATCCTTGGGGACGAAATGAACCCTAAAATTGGGGTCCTTTACCCTATACCACTATAATTCTTATTAAGGAAATATGAACCCTAAACCCTTTTAAGGCTCATTTCGTCCCCAAGGATCTAACGCTGAGTTGTGCCACAAAAACGACTCGCTTGCATGGGTAGGGCTCCGAGTGCTCGTGGGCTTCTCAACTCCGAGGCTCTAAACCCTAAACCCTAAACCCTAAACCCTAAACCCTAAACCCTAAACCCTAAACCCACCCCTCTCCTTCTGTGGGTAGGCGGGCGCGTCGAGCGCCAGCGAGACCATGGCAGGCTCTGCTGAGCTGCAGAGCCTGCCAACCGCACCCCTGAGGGGCAGTCGCCTAGTTCAGTGACTGTTTTTTTATTATAACCCTAAACCCGATCCTCTGATCGCGGAAGGCCCGCCCGTACTCTGGCCTGGGGCCCCCCTGGGGGCCTCCTTGGCCCCTCTGGGGGGTGTGCCGACTGCGGCTTATTTTGCTGGACCAGGGGCCGTTTTTCAGGCCCTGCCTGAGCCACTGCTCAAAGGGCTTACACACCTTTTTTGCGTCCTCAAGACTGCTTGGGAGGCCCCTGGGAGGCCCCTGGGAGGCCCCTGGGAGGCCCCTGGGAGGCCCCTGGAAGGCCGAGGCAACTGGATGGGAGGTTTCGGGAGGGGCCGCCCCCAAAGGCCTCCCCTGGGAGGTAGCTGGAGGTCTGTTGCTGGGAAGGCTCCTTTCTTTCTGGGAGGCCGCCAGGACGCCTGGGAGGCCCTGTTTAGCAAAGGGTCTATCGCCATGCAACCTTTACATTCCCACATAGAGAAGAAAAAACAATGAGAAGGCCCTCCGGCCGAAGACACCCCCCAACGCAAACGCTGATTTGGCTCTGGTAAGCTTCTAGACATGACTCTCACAAGGTTTGTTCATATCAACACCATGACACCCCGACGTCGAGAATAGAAACAATGAGAAGGCCCTCCGGCCGAAGACACCCCCCAACGCAAACGCTGATTTGGCTCTCGCAAGCTTCTAGACCTTTTTTTCGCAAAGGGTCTTTCGTCAGGCAACCTCTACGCTCCGGCATAGAGAAGAAAAAACAATGAGAAGGCCCTCCGGCCGAAGACACCCCCCAACGCAAACGCTGATTTGGCTCTGGTAAGCTTCTAGACATGACTCTCACAAGGCCTGTTCATATCAACACCATGACACCCCGACGTCGAGAATAGAAACAATGAGAAGGCCCTCCGGCCGAAGACACCCCCCAACGCAAACGCTGATTTGGCTCTCGCAAGCGTCTAGACATGATTTTCGCAAGGCGTATTTATGGCAACAAATCTTTCGCCATGCAGCCTTGATGCATCCAGAATGGAACAATGAGAAAGCCCGCCCAATGCAAAACCAAATTTTCTCTCTCGAAAGCTCGACATCTAACATCTTTTCCAAGGCATCTTCTCAGATGTCACCTTGCAAAAAGCAAGGCATCAGGCTCCATGACATAAGGCAGCGTGCTAGATGTTAGTCCGAAGCACAGGCGTTGAGTGCAGAAGTGTTTGGATGTGGGCTGGCTTGGATTTGGCTGGCTCTTTTTTTGTCTCGTTTTGAGTAGTGTTTGGGTGGCCTTGGGGTGGGCATGTCTGCACACAACTGCGTACAGCTGACCACTGCTACACCCTAAACCCTAAACCCTAAACCCTAAACCCTAAACCCTAAACCCTAAACCCTAAACCCTAAACCCTAAACCCTAACCCTGGTGAGAGGCTCCTGATTTGACTCGTGGGCAACCTTCAGTCCCCTTCCTGATGATCAGATATTGCGGCTCGGGTGCCTGGCTGTTCACGGTCTGCTTGTAGTATGCCTCAGTTCAGCTTCCCTTTTGGAGGTCGACTCGGGGCTTGGGTTTAGGGTTTGGGGTTTGGGGTTTAGGGTTGAGGGTTGAGGGTTGAGGGTTTAGGGTTTAGGGCTTCGGGCTTAGGGTTCAGGGTTAGAGTTTTAGGGTTTAGGGCTTAGGGCCTCTAAGGGTCTGGGCTTCTCACGTTGGAGGATTCTGGGAGGCCATGGCGCAGCTACGGTAGGGCCGGTAGCGAGTCGGATTTCGGCACCTGGCAAACTCTGAACCCGAACCCTCAACCCTAACCCTAAACACCCAAAACATCCGAAAAACCCTAAAAACTCGAAAAGCCCTCAAAGCCCTAAAATCCCTAAACCCTAAACCCTAAACCCCACGCCACAAAAAGCTTTTGGGCCGCGAAGCCCAGACCCTTCGTCGGAGCTGGGTTGGAAAGCGGTGGTGCGTGAGCCATGCCTTCGGGTTTAGGGTTTAGGGTTTAGGGTTTAGGGTTTAGGGTTTAGGGTTTAGGGTTTAGGGTTTAGGGTTTAGGGTTTAGGGTTTAGGGTTTAGGGTTTAGGGTCTGAACCCTAAAACGTTCTTCGAGCCAGAGGGGTTTCGAGAGCCTTGGGGGACCAATTATGAACCCTAAAAGGGTTTAGGGTTTATAGGGCTTAGGGTTCATAATTATACTAGGGGTTATGGCAGTATAGGGTACATGACCCCAATGTTGGGGTTCATTTAGTCCAGAGCGGGGTTTGTCAGATTAAAGGATTTGGTGGGCCGAACCTTTGAACCTTTGAATCCCGGCAGAAGGTTCATCATACCCACCCCGAAGGGGTACATGAGACCCCCTCCCCCCCGAAACCAACCCTAAACCCTAAACCTTAAACCTAAACCCTAAACTTTATAGACCCTAAACCCTAAAACAGAAACAAACCCTAAACAACTCTAAACCCTAAACCTTTTGTTTAAGCACAGACTGAGGAGGAAACCCTAAACCCCAAACCCCAAACCCCAAACCCCAAACCCCAAACCCCAAACCCCAAACCCCAAACCCTAAACCCTAAACCCTACCTCAAAACCCAACCCCCCCCCCCCCCCCCCCCCGACGCGTCCCGATGGACCTCGATGAGTTCCAGCCGTTCCTTCTGTGCCCGCCAGTTCACCTCGGAGCTCTCTGCTTTAGGGTTTAGGGTTTAGGGCTATCGGGTTTCAGGAGAAAAGGACTTGGGACTGTTTGCTGAGCCCCAAAAACATGGACCCTGCGACTCTCATGTGGCTACCTTAGAGGTGCTTTCTTTGGGTGGGGAGGGCTTTGAGGACGTAAGTCGTGGAGGGTTCAGGCTTTGGAACTAAAGTGATTTGGAGTGTAGTGTTGAGGGCGGTGAATTTGGGGTTTTGGAGTTAGGGGACACCTTAAGAACCCAAAACCTCATTTTTTGTAGGTTTTGGGTTCTTAAGGTGCAGTTTGCCCTAAACCCTAAGACCCTTAACATCCCTTAACTATAAGGGTTCAGGGTTTCCGCTTTAGGGTTTAGGCCCACAACATCGAGACCCAGGAGAAACCTAGGAACATGAAAGGGGTTGCAAGGGAACCCCAACCCGAGACATCGACATCCTTTAGGGTTTAGGGTTTAGGGTTTAGGGTTTAGGGTTCATAAGGCCCAGTAGGTTCCTGACGTCGTTGCTCGCAAGGATCACCGAGATGTTGCCCACGACGTAGCCGTAGAAGGCGCCCCCCACGATCATGGCCAGCATCGTGAATATCCTGCTTTCGGCTCCTAAACCCTAAACCCTAAACCCTAAACCCTCAACCCAAACCCTAAACCCCAAACCCCAAACCCTAAACCCGAAACCCTAAACCCTAATCAAACCCTAAACCCTGAAACGCCTAACGCCCCATCCCGTCCAACACCCTGAGCTGCCCTGACACTGGCAACACTGTCGAAAGAGAGCGTTGGCTTGCGTGTTGGGCTTAGGGCTTAGGGTTTCGGGTTTAGGGGTTTAGGGTTTGGGGTTCAGGGCTTCGGGTTTAAGCCTTCAAGAACAAGGAAGAGCTCAGGGAGGTTCGACGCCGGAAGAAGAAGAAGTGCAAAATGGCTGGAGAGGCTGGAGATGGCCCGAGCCCAGGATCCCCAGAGGGTTAGGGTTTAGGGTTTCGGGTGCACCCCAACCACATCGGCCATGGCTCCTTTCATCGTCATTTGTCGGGAGAATATCTCCGTAACCCACCTCAGCTACGGATTTCGAAGGGCAAGCCTGTGCCGTTTGGAGTTTGGAGTTTGGGTTTAGGCTGCAGGGTTCCGAATGTCCCACAGCAGGGTTCAAGGTTAGGCCCTAAACCTTTTGAGGGTTCAGGCTTTAGGGGCGAAGCAGTCCATCGCCACCCTGGGACTCTGGGACCTCCTCTCCTTCTCAGAAAAGCCTTTTTGCAGCCGGGCTTAGGGTTAAGGGTTTAGGGTTGAACCTCAACCCCCAACACCACCAAGCGACCAAAGCCTTCTTAAAATGAACCCCCAAGCTCTGGAAGCCCCAAGAGTGTCCTTGGCGTTTTTAAATATAATCGCTAAACCCTAAACCCTAAACCCCAAATCCACTCTCTTTTTTTCTGTCAGCCTTCTGGCACTGTCGGGTCTCCGCCGGCTGCGCGCCTCAGAAGCAAGGCGCGGAGCTCGCCGACGCAGCTGCAAAGGTGCCTGGGCTACTGTTTCAGGGTTTATAGGGTTTAGGGTTTAGGGTTTAGGGTTTAGGGTTTAGGGTTGGTTTGGGGTTTGGGGTGTAGGGTTAGGGTTTAGGGTTTGGGGTTTAGGGCTTAGGGTTTGGGGTTTAGGCGATGTTCCCCCTTATGCTAGCAGCCCAACTTACAGGGCTTTTTTGTTCCCTCCTGCACAGCTGGGGCGAATCCACATCGCAGGGATGTCTTCGAGGACCGATACAGCGTCTTGCAAGGGTTTAGGGTTTAGTTAATTTTTCTTAGGGGGGTTCAGGGCTTGGGGTTTCGGGGTTCGGGGTTCGAGGGTTGGGGTTTTGGAGGGTGGTCTGCATGTTCGGGGTTCTTGGGTGGTCAGGCTCATAGGGCGGCTTCTGGAATTGTTAGGATCTAGACTACTGTAGGGTTTACAGAACTTTCTACGCGCTTCTACATTTTTGGGGGTTTGCGGGCTTGTACTCTTGCGCCTATAAACCCTACAGCAACTAAGCCCTGAAGTGAAGGAAGCCATGCAGCAGATAGGGTTTAGGGTTTAGGGTTTAGGGTTTAGGGTTCAGGGTTCAGGGTTTAGGGTTCAGGGTTCAGGGTTTAGGGTTTAGGGTTTAGGGTTTAGGGCAGAGGGTTTAGGGTCAAGGGTTTAGGGGTCAGATTCAAGCCAAGAGGCTGCTTTCTGCTGTTCAGCTCGCGCACCAAGGTTGTTAAACTCTGGGATGCGCCATCCACCAACCTTTGGAGAGTTGTCGGGGTTGAGGTTTGAGCATGGGGCTTAGGGGTTTGGGGTGTTTTGGGTTAGTGTTAGGGTTTGGGGGTTTAGGGCTTAGGGTGTATGAGGTTTCGGGTAGTATTCTCTGCAGTAGGCTTGACGCTAGTGAATGAAAAGGGCACAGGGTTCAGGGTTTAGGTTTTAAGGCGAGGCTTCGTCGGTTTTTTTGCAGATGTGAAACCGGATAGCTTTCAGTGAATTACACAGTTAGTGACAAGCATGTGTCATGCTAGTGTAGTCCTGTGCTTAGAAGCTTTTAGCGACCCTGTAAGCCTTCAAACCCCTAAACCTTAATTAAACCCTAAACCCTAAACCCTACACCCTACACCCTAAACCCGAAACCCTAAACCCTAAACCCTGAACCCTAAACCCTAAACCCTAAACTGTTGAATCTGGGCCACTGTGAGAAGTCATGGGCCCACGCGATGGCTTGTTCCGGGAGCGCAATCGTGGCATCCTCCCCCGCATGACGGTTTCGACAGGCTGTCCACGAAGGGACTGAGGGGTTTAGGGTTTGGGGTTTAGGGTTTAGGGTTGCTAAGGGGAGGGCTTTGGGGTTCAGGGGAGGGTTTGTAGGGTTGAGGGCGTTGGGGGAGGTGTTGTAGGCTCTGTTTGGGGTTTAGGTTCAGGGTTTAAAGGCCTTCGGTAAACCCTAAACCCTAGACCCTAAGCGTCCTCTGCGAGGAGCGGGAGGAAGGTGGCTGGCCTCGAGGCATTACCTTGCATCTGGTCGCTGGTCGTTTTTTGATGTTTAGGAACTCACGCCCTCGACCCTTGACCTTTGTTTTGAGGTTTAGGGTTGGGGGAGCCTTATCGGCCTTACACCCCCAAACTCCTAAACCCTCCCCTGGGCGCAATCTCGGCAGCTGACATATCAGCTTTGGGGTCTTGGTGGGCGTCTTAAAGGAGGAACCAAGGGGGGTGGAATACGGGGCGGGGGGGGGGGGTGAAAGGGCCCATATTCCCTTCTTAGAGCTTCTTCAAGCTTATTTGGGATTCTTAAGCCATCGTTCGGGCTTAGGGTGTAGCATTTCTGGGGCTCTCTATATTTAGTGCAACAACCTACCTCCAGCTGCGAACCGAGCTTCCGCAACTGGGGGGGGGGGGGGGGGGGGCGGACATCCCCTTCTTAGTAGGCCAATATCGTGTCAGAAAGGTACCCCTTTTTTGGGGTTGTTTGCTTTATAAGGGCACCGCGAACCAAAACAAGGCAAAAAAGGGGGTACCATCGGGCTACCAAGCCGTGGTGAAGGCACAAAAGGGCTCCCAAACCCTAAACCCTAAACCCTGAAACCTTAACCCCAAACCTCAAACCCTAAACCTAAGCCCTAAACCCAAGAAATCCCAAACTAGAACGAACCCAGACTTGGGCTCCGAAGGGACTCAGCTCAAGACGGCAGATGGGCTCGTACTCTTTCGCGACCAGCTCCAACCGGCAGTGCATCTTCCTCGCTTCTTCTGCTTCTGCTGCAGATTACGACCCTAAACCCTTAAGCCTAAGGCCCTAAACCCTAAACCCCAGACCCCAAACCCGACTAAACCCTGAACCCGGAGACCCAAACCCCAAACCCTAAACCCCTAAACCCCTAAACCCCTAACCCCTAAGCCCCTAAGCCCCTAAACCCCTAAACCCCTAGACCCCTAGCCCCTAACCCCTAAACCCCGAAACCCCGAAACCCCTAGACCTGTAAACCCCTAAACCTCTAAAGCCCAAACCCTAAACCCTAGTTAGGATCTTGTACACCCTAAACCCTAAACCCTAAACTTCCAAGGATCTTGTACTCGCCCAACGCCTGGGAAGCGGCCATAAGGGTGCTCTCCAAGAGCACAGCGATGTCAATCCTTGGGGACCAAATGAATCCGACAATTGGGGTCACAAGCCCTATACTACTATAATCCCCCATTAAGGTATATGAACTCTAGACCCTAAAGCCCTAAACCCTACAGTAAACCCTAAACCCTAAACCCTAAACCCTAAACCCTTCTTAGGGTTCTCTTGGCCCTTGGCAAGGGTCTGCAAGTCCTCTGACTCCCTGAGCTCTTGCCTCTCACCGCCCACCTCCGCAGCATCTGCCTTGGGGACGACATGGACCCTAAAATTGGGCGGGGGGGGGGTTTAGGGTTTAGGGTTTAGGGTATGGGGTTTAGGATTTAGGGTTTGTGGTTACCCTATGCTCCTATACTACTGTACTACTCTAATTCCTGTTAAGGTAATATGGACCTAGGGCTCATGTGGTCCCCAAGGTGCAGGTTCCATGGAGATGGCCCTAAACCCTAAACCCTAAACCCTAAACCCTAAACCCTAAACCCTACACCCTAAAACCCTCTTAGGGGTTCCCAAGGTGCAGGTTCCATGGAGATGGCCCGAAAGTCGTCTGCGACCCTCTCGAGCTGAGAGAGCTTGTCCTCTACTTTTTTCTTCGAACCGTAGCAAAGACAAGCCCTAAGCCCTAAACCCTAAACCCTAAGCCCTAAATCTACTCCTGTGTTGCTTCTTGAGATCGTTTTTAAACCCAAGCAGGAACCGCACGAAACTTGTCTTTGGATGCTTACTGTAACATCCCAGCGTCTTCCACCTTGCCAGGGACACCGGCCTCAGATTTGTAGTACAGGGCCGCGTCGCACAAGAAAGCGGGGAGTCGGGAAGCTTCTTGGAGAAGGTCGGAGCCGTGGCTGCGGCACAGACCTTGAAAACCAATTCTTGGGGAGCAATTGTGAACCCTAAAAAGCGTTTAGGGTTTAGGGCTTAAGGTTTAAGGTTCTCAAGTACCTTAATAAGGGCTTAGAGTAGTAGACGGTAGACGACCTCAATTTCTAAAGTTCGTTTGGTCCCCAAGGGTCGCCGCATGGACGAGTCCGCTTGCCGCAAGCCATTAACCACATCGTGCAAGTGTTGCTCGATCTCATTGAGGAGGCAGAAGACCTATACGCTTCAAGGAGGTAGGTTTAGGGTTTAGGGTTTAGGGTTTAGGGGTTTAGGGTTTAGGGTTGGTACCCTACCGTCGATCAGAAACATCCGAGACCTCTCCCAACCCACTCCTCGGCCCCGAGCCAGGTTTCAGGGCCAGAAGCCTACAATGAAACCTATGCAAACCTTTAATTTGAACCCTAAACCCTAAACCCTAAACCCTAAACCCTAAACCCTAAACCCTAAACCCTAAACCCTAAACCCTAACCCCCCCCCCCCCACCCACCTCGTGCCACTGGCGCCACTTTCGGACCTCTCGTCGGCCCTGGCGTGCCTCGAGTTCTTGTTTTTGGGGTTGAGAACTTTAGCTGACCGAAGGAGCATTGGGATCATACCCCCTATGCTGCGATAGTCCCTCTGCTCTAAGTTATAGGTTTTGATTAGGGTGGTAGGGAAGGGGTTCTGAAGCTGAACAAAGTGGCTGGAGGATCGCTGTGCCCATATAAAAAACCCTGTTGACATTAACCCCAAACCCCTAAGCCTTGACGAACAACGCGAACCACATGCTACCAACCATCTCCACCCTAGGCTCACAACTGAAGCTTTAAACTCTCTCTGGTCAGACATTGCAAATGTCGGTGGCCTCTTTCTCTGTTACCCTTACTGTATACCTTAATATAGCCCCTAGATACCCTAATAAAGACCCCGAATATATGCCCTATAAACCAGAAACCCACCTTAACGAGACCACCCACCCACATAAGTCAGACATCTGAATTGTGGCCACTTTATAGCGTGCCCCTGCGCTGCAGATGGCCCTGGGAGAACTGTCCCTGCAATTTCTCAGGCCAAATGCCAACAAACCCATCCTAAACCCCAACCCTCAACCCTAATCCCTAAACCCTAAACCCTAAACCCGAGAGACCCTAAACCCTAAATCCCAAACCCCCTAAACCCTCTTCTTCAGAGCCGGCCTCGGGGTCGAAAGCTGACTGCAGGCGCCGGGAAAATCGCCAGGGGGCGGCCTTCGCCCTTGGGGCTGCTGTAGGGTTTAGGTTTAGGGTTTAGGGCTTAGGGTTTAGGGTTTAGGGTTTTGAGTTTAGGGTTTAGGGTTTAGGGAGCCCTAAACCCTAAACCCTAAACCCAAAACCCTAAACCCAAAACCCTAAACCCCTAAACCCTAGGAAGGGTTCTGAAGTGCGACCCAGGTTCGACCATCGCAGCAACTGGTCTCGGAGCACTTGCGCGCGGGAAGTGCGCCCCGCCTCGTTGATGTTGAAGATGTTCACCTCCTTGGGAACCAAATGAACCCCATAAGGGTTTGGGCTTAGGGTTTAGGGTTTAGGGTTTAGGGTTTAGGGTTTAGGGTTTAGGGTTTAGGGTTTTGAGGTTAAGGGTTTAGGGTGTACGGCGTAGGCTTGGGGCTTGGGGTTTGGGATTCATTTACCTGAATAGGGCTTCTAGTAGTATAGAGTTTAGGGTCTAGGGTTCATAGGAATAGAGTGTCTAGTGCTCCAGATTTTAGGTATCCCTGAATAGGGCTTCTAGTAGTCTAGGGCTTAGGGTCTAGGGTTTAGGGTTCCAAACCCTAAACCCTAAACCCTAAACCCTAAACCCTAAATCCTAAACCTTAAACCCTAAACCCTAAACCCTAAACCCTAAACCCTAAACCCTAGACCCTAAACCTTATAGTAGTCAAGGGCATAAAACCCCAAATTTTAGGGGTTCATTTGGTGCCCCAGGCGCTGAGCCATTCGAAGCACTGAAGGAGTCGTTGCCTTCTTGGTCGGACTGAGGACACCACTCCTGCCACCCGCGGAAGAGAATGGGTTTAGGGTTTAGGGTTTAGGGTTTAGGGTTTAGGGTTTAGGGCACATCTCTAGGTAGTCATTCCTTGCCCCCCCCCCCCCCCCCTCCCCTGCCCACCCAAGCCTACCCCCTAACACCGACAAACTTTCGCAACTGCCAGATGCTAAGATCCGGACTACGCAAGTTTGAGTGCAACTACAATGTCTATGCCTCCCTCATGCAACCTCAACACACGTGTGTTTGGCAACCGAACCTCCAAACCCTAAACCCTAAACCCTAAACCCTAAACCCTAAACCCTAAACCCTAAACCCTAAACCCTAAACCCTAAACCCTAAACCCCAGACTCCATCGGAGCCATCTCCAGCTTCGGAAGGTTCAGCTGGCTCAGCCTAGGATGGTCCCTGAAACCCTCCGGAAAAATACTCCTACATATGAACCTATTAAACCCAATAAGGGTTTAGGGTTTAGGGTTTAGGGTGTAGGGTTTAGGGTTTGAAAATTACAAAATGTCCCAAGGGCCTACCTAGCAGCTGCTCAGCCAGGGCTTCCGCAAGCAGGGCCGGATCGGCTTCGCCATCGGCCGAGGAGGATGCGGAGGACATAGGCACCTCGACTTTACCGCACTTTACCCAAGGGCTAGGGTTTAGGGTTTAGGTTTTCCAACACAAGGCTCAGAGTAGTTCGGAGTATGTTCAAGGTACCCCCATGTTGCGACATGCTCGAACCTCTGAACCCTAAACCCTAAACCCTAAACCCTAAACCCTAAACCCTAAACCCTAAACCCTAAACCCTAAACCCTAAACCCTAAACCCTAACCCTGACTCAAGTCTCAGATCAGGCGCTGTAGGGGGGCTCATAGGCATGGGCCCCTCCGATGTGGAGCTCTCTGCCTCATGCTCCGTCTTTGAGGCTGCACTCGGAACTGCCTTGTGGCTTTCCCACGCATGGCTTGGCAATTCCTTGGTCTCCTAGAGTCCCTTTTGACTCGGGGAGCTGAGGCCCGATAATCCTAAAGTCCCTAAACCCTAAACCCTAAACCCTAAACCCTAAACCCTAAACCCTAAACCCTAAACCCTAAACCCTAAACCCTAAACCCTAAACCCTAACCCTAAACCCTAAACCCTAAACCCTAAACCCTAAACCCTAAACCCTAAACCCTAAACCCAAACCCTAAACCCTAAACCCTAGGGTTTGTAGTTTAGGGTTTAGAGGCACGAACAAAAACAAACACGTTGGCAGTTCGCCACAGCTTCCGAGGTTTCTTGGTGGCCTGTAGCTTTATCACTGCCGAATTCAAGAATAAAAGAAACACAATACACGTAAGTTGCAACCATTAAGAAACATAGATATTCATAATCATTAGTATCAGTCATAAGAAATAGGCATGACAAGAACCGGAGACTCTGATTACCTACAGTTTTGTAGTAACGACCCCTTGAAGAGTAGGTCTAATCACTGAAAACCGTAGGTAAAGAGGGTCCCGGTCCCAGGAAGAATCCGGAGACCAGATAAACAAGAAACATAAACTTTCATCACAAAGAAAGCTTAAGAAGAACCTGGGACTCTGTTTACCTACAAGTTGATCATAACTACCCCTCAGCTGGTAGGTATAACCCGTGAAAAACTGCAAATAAAGGGGACTCCCAAGAAGCATGCACACAACATACAAGTCGCTAAGAAACAAAATCATTCACAATCCGCAGCATCAGTCACAAAAAAAAGCCTAAACCTTAAACCCTAACCCTAAACCCTAAACCCTAAACCCTAGCCCTAAACCCTAAAACCTAAACCCTAAACCCTATACCCTAAACCCTAAACCCTGAAGGCTCTGCGCGCCCGGCTGCTTGTGGGGGAGTGTTGCTCGGGACCTTCGGGGGCTGCTCCCGAGGCTTCTCCACAGGCGCTGCAGGAGCCGAAGGAGGCTTCGGAAAATCGACCATCCTGGGTTTAGGGTTTAGGGTTTAGGGTTTAGGGCTAGGGTTTAGGGTTTAGGGTTTAGGGTTTAGGGTTTAGGGCTAGGGTTTAGGGTTTAGGGTTTAGGGTTTAGGGTTTAGGGTTTAGGGTTTAGGGTTTAGGGTTTCGGGTTTCGGGTTTCGGGTTTCGGGTTTCGGGTTTCGGGTCTAGGGTCTAGGGTTTAGGGTTTAGGGTTTAGGGGTTTCGGGTTATGGTTTAGGGTGCATTCCGAACTAGGAGTCCGTTTTTTGTGGCTGTAGGGTTTGGGGTTTTAGGGGCAATCGAGGCCCTTACACGATGTTCGTGAGGGTTCGGTGGGGCGTCTTCGGGCTCCAAGGGTTTTGCATCGCCAAGATTGCTCCAAGATACGAAAGGAGCCACGGAGGGTTTAGGGTTTAGGGTTGATGGTTTAGGGTTTAGGGTTTAGGGTTCAGGGTTGAGTTGCTTGAGGGTCTATTGATTCCGCCTCTTGTCAGAACACGAACTTGCTGCTCAAGTGCACGGAAAGGAGCAGCTGACCTTTCACATGCTGTCCCTGTACATCCAACAGCTGGAGCCAGTTCGGGCCACCGTCTTCTTCTGCGCAAGCAAGCCGCCGCCCCACCGGAATCTTCCTAGGTCTCTTCACTGGCAGCACGGGCCACCAAAAAGCGCGAGTTGTTGAACATGGATGTTGATAAACAAGATCAGGTACGCTGCGTGGGAAACACTGCAGGTGCGTAGAAGAAAACACACAAAAACATACATGTGCATTCGGGGCTGGTCGTAAGCTCTAAACTGTAACCCTTTTGAACCCGGGGCTAAACCCTAAACCCTAACCCTTCTCGAACTCCCCCCCCCCCCACACCAATACGCCTCCTTTGAATTCGGTTCGGTGGAGGGGGGAGGGCCAAGGCCGAGATTCAGCGCACCGACCAGGTCCCCGCGATCGTTCTGAAAGCCAGCCCTTAGCTTCTCCCGAAGTGCTGGTGTGGGGTTAAGGGTTTAGGGTTATAGGGCTTTCGGTTATAGGGTATGGGGTATGGTATAGGGTTTAAGGTTCTTCCGTCGAAAGATTGTGGGTAGAGCTTCCAGGGTAAGAGGGCACTAAGCGATGTCAGACGCCGCGGGAATTTGCCAAACAGATGTTCAGGTTTCAGGAAACCTTGGCCTCAGAAAACAGGCTACCAGATTGTCGGGTGTTTGTTTGGGGAATAGGGTTTCTATAGGGTTTATAGGGTTTAGGGTTTAGAGTTGCAAACGTCCCGAAGCCCCCTCCCAACGCCATGCGGAGGCTCAAGGGCAGCGCCGATGCCGCGGAGGCCGCGGAGGCCGCGGCGTGATCGCGCAGGGCCGCAAGCCCGCCCTGCTTGAAGGCCTTGTTGCACAAAAGGTCTCAAGTTAGCTTAGGGTCTAGGGTCTAGGGTCTAGGGTCTACGGTTTGGGGTTTAGGGAAAAGGGTATAGGATTTAGGGTTTAGGGTTTAGGCAACCGTCAGAAGGCAACTGGGTTGAGCTTACAACCCCTTTGATAAATCTTAGTAGAAGGGAGCCGCTGTAGATCCAAACAAGGAACATAAAACCCTAAACCCTAAACCCTAATCCCTAATCCCAAAGGCCAAGCTAGTTAAGGGTCTGCGTCAGGGTTTCGTGGTGGAGGGTCCCGCAACATGCCCAAACCCGGTTGCCCAGTGACCATAGTATAATACGGTCACCCTCTTTTGGGCTGGTTACTGTGTAAGGGAACCCTAAACCCTAAACCCTAAACTCTAAACCCTAAACCCTAAACCCTAAACCACTAGGCCACCAAGAACATTACAGCTGTGGGGCGGAGAAGCCGCCCAGTGCGGCACCGGCCAAGGTCTTCTTCTCCTGGTGCCCAGCACCCTTCCTTGGCAAGCTGCGGGCTGCCCTATGTAGGGTTTAGGGTTTAGGGTTCACTTCTAAGTGCGAACGCTCGGAACTCGCTGATCACTGAAGTCAGGACACACAGTTTTACTGAAACGCTCAGGCATGGGGACGAGCGTCGAAGTCGAAGCAATCAAACTCGCGACTCACGAACGAGTCCCCGACCCCGAAGCAAAGAGCAAGGACAAGGAACGGTCACAAACCTCGTACCCACTTCCCGTGGATCATCACGCACATACCCGATCGAGCATGCGTATGATGACAAACGAAGTAAAAGACCGAACCCCCTCCCCTTCGCAACACAGGGCGGGTGGGTGGGCCAAAAATCAGATGAGATCCTTTGGGGGATCTGCGGCTGACGATCGTCTTTAGCCAAAAAGGCAACGATCGTCATGCCTTTGTGATCTCGCAACCAGAAGTGACCCCTGAACCCTAACCAACCAGACCGGTATTCAGGACCCACTTCTAAGTGCGAACGCTCGGAACTCGCTGATCACTGAAGTCAGGACACACAGTTTTACTGAAACGCTCAGGCATGGGGACGAGCGTCGAAGTCGAAGCAATCAAACTCGCGACCCACGAACGAGTCCCCGACCCCGAAGCAAAGAGCAAGGACAAGGAACGGTCACAAACCTCGTACCCACTTCCCGTGGATCATCACGCACATACCCGATCGAGCATGCGTATGATGACAAACGAAGTAAAAGACCGAACCCCAGGCCCCCAGCCCCAGCCTCGAGAGAGCACACTGTTTCCCACAGGAGCATGAATCAATTGCTGTCAGCGAGACGGCCCGGCCATGAACAATTCACCGTGATCCAGCCGACAGCTTCGCCGAGCGACATCAGATCACGAGATGGCCAATCG